TCATCTTGCTAATTGAGTTATTTTAATAGGTAAATCATAAAGTAATCAATTAAGTAGTTGCCATAATCTTCAAGAGATCTTCATAAAAGCAGGGTTTACAGACGTTCCTTAAACAAGTTATTGTTCCTTCTCCTAAGAGTAATTTTTGTGGCCCTCCTCTGGACCCACTGCAACAGATCCATGTCTTTCTTGTGTTGAGTGTTCCAGACATAGCACTGTAGGTGGGGTCCAACAAGGGCAGAGCAGAGGTGAAGAATCACCTTTCTTGACCTACTGGCCACTCTTGATGCAGCCCGGGATGCGATTGGCTTTCTAGCTTGTGAGTTGGCATCTCATGTTGAGCATCTCGTCAGCCAGCATCCTCAAGTCCTCTGCAGGGCTGCTCTCAATCCACTTGTGACCTGTCCTGTCTTTGTGCTGGGGATTTCCGTGACCCAGGTGCAGGACCTTGCACTTAGCCTTGTTGAACTTCATGACATTTTTATGGGCCTACCTCTCCAGCCTCTCCAGGTCCATGTGGATGTCATCGCTTCCCTCCAGCTTGTGAACCACACCAGACAGCCTGGTGATGTTGGCAAACTTGCTGAGGGTGCGCTCGTTCCCACTGTGCATGTCACCAAAAGTTAAACAGCACTCATCATGGGTCTCCATTTGGACATTGAGCCATTGGTAGTAACTCTGAGAGCAGCCATCTAGCCAATTACTTATCCACTTAGTAGTCCATCCATTGAATTCATGTCTTTCCAATTTAGAGACCAGGATGTCATGCGGGGCAGTAATAGTTGCACACAGATGAATAGTCTCCCATTAATTTATAGGCTATGAAATTAGCTATTTTGGAAAAAGTAGACCTCGTATGCGGCCTTTATTTGGTGTAGAGTTTATCGCATTGATAACCCATTTAAATTTGTAGTGTTCTTACTTCAACATTGTGGCTTATTTTTAGTTTGAAATGTAAATTGCATCTGTAAGGTATGGCATTTTACTGCTTTTTTATGGTAGATTTTACAAAATAAGATTGGTTGAATCCCTTCTCCTTCTATTGTAGCATGTATTTTAGGCTTTTATATGTTTTTATTATGCCCTTTGCAGTTTTCAATGTCAATTTTAAATTGTAGTTGTTCAAACTTGGGTGTGTTACTCTAAAACAGACCTCAGGAACAACCTGTGATGAACTTCAGGAGAGCATTTAAAAGCAGTCTGTATAGGCAGCCAGAGAAGAAAATCCTTTTGGGCAAGCACAAGCTGTATTCTTCCAGTGGTTTTCTGTATTCACATCTAACTTCTGGTTATGAAGGTATCCTGGCATGCAATACTTGAAGAATTTTTGGGCCTTACAAGAGCTATGGCTCCAGTTGGAACATACAAACACTGCTTAATTGCCTATTTAAATTATTGTGCGTTAGCTTTGCTCTGATTTTAGCTTTGCAGTACTAAATGATGCTGTGTATCTAGATAGGTCTTCTGAGAAGGGACGCAAAGCTGTAGAAAAGGCTAGGGGGCCAGTTAGCTCAGTCAGTTGAGCGTGGTGCTGATAACACCAAGGTCGTGGGTTCGATTCCCGTTTGGTCCCCATGTGATGCCTGATGTAGTTGAGAGGTGTCCCTGCCCATGACAAGGAGGTTGGATTCGATGATCTCTAAGATCCCTTCCAGCCTAGGCCATTCTATGATATAAGACAGCTCTTCCTCTAATCCACTGAGCAAATTACTCTTTAACCAGAGTCTGGTTTGCACATTAGAATAATTTTGATCTTTCTAATTGCAGTTGGCTCTGAGATTCTCCTGTCTGTGCATCTTACTGTGATTACAAACCTATCTCAGAAACAGCTATTACCGTTGAGTCCTCAGCCATTTTGCCTCTAGCTCCCTCATTTACTTAATTGGCTTATACAAGATGTTTGACTTGCAGCCAATGCAACAGGCAGCTCCTCTGTACACATTGTATATTTCCTTTCTGATCAGTGCTCCTCAAAACCAGTAAGCAAAAACTTGCTTCATCCCCTCTTTCCCCCATCTTACAATTTTGATTTTGTCCTTACGTAGAATCATAGAATTATGGAATCATTTAGTTTGGAAAAGACCTTCAAGATCATCAAGTCCAACCATTAACCTAGCAATGCCAAGTCCACATGGCTGGGTTGGAGGGGGCTTTTGTCGTCACAATGTATTAGTGTTTCCTCATTTCTTCTGTAGTCATCTCTGTTAATTTTTAAGCTCAGGCTACTTTCCTCACTTTCTGTGCCAAATTACTTTCCGCTTTTTGTCAAAGAAAAAGTATTGTGAGGCTTCCTTCATTCTAAAATGACCTAGCTGTAATCAACTCTTCATTATGTTTTGCCATTCCATTCTGATGCGGGTTGTCTGTGTTGTAAGCATAGAGATGCTCTGGGTTAAACTGTGTTGTGGATTAGTTGTAATATAGTCCTGCTCTAACACCCTTCAGCAGCATGGAGCCGGAAGTACTAGTCCCAGTTTTTACTGTTTGGGACTAGCTTCTATGGATGCTAGAGAAGCTAGAAGCTAGTCTCAGCCAGACCTACACTGGCAGCTTGTCAGTACAGCCTAGTTGATTCTGCAGTATATTTCAGTACACGTTTTCTGAGCCCATCGCAAGTCTGGCACAGAGAAAATCAAGCTGGAGTAGAAAGTGCTGAGGTAAGTGCTACAAGAGCCACACAGTTATTGATGCTTAGGGTTGCACAATAGCTTACGTTTGGATATGGTGCTAAACTCAGAGTGTCTTTGTGAATTTGGGTCATGGCAGGCCAGAATTTATAAGCTGTTTTGGCAGCTGGTATTCTGCAAAGTGCAGTGCGAAGGCTGAGCTGCACTAGCAGGGCAAGTTCTGGCTTATCCAGGACTGATAAATTCTGATTAAATACTTTTGCTCTGTGTTACTTGAATGCATTCCAGATTACCCATACTGTTAAGACTCACTCATTATTTGCAGTGTTCAGTATCCCAGGTAGAAGAGGACTTAGTATAATGAGAGACAACAGAAATCCAAACCAATAAGCCATACATGTAATTATATCTGAAACAGAGCTAGAGAATCCTGTTTCTACAACAGGCACAAACCAACAGTTTTCAGTATGTAATATACCAGTATCGGGCAGTGGTTGTCTGCCATGGCATATGAGTGTCCAAAGTTGCCAGTGTAATACACGCTAGTCAGTATGCAAATTAGATGTAAATCAAGCAGCTGCTCTAGCACAGAGTAGTATTTTTTTGGTAGAAATGCATCAGCAGGTGTGCTTAATCTCAATAAAAGGTGTCTCAGGAACTTTTAGGACTAGTGTTGCAGGACTAGCAGCAGTGTAGGTACAGAATAGTGGTTGAGAGTGAGACATGAGGGTATTAAGTATGGATACTGGAGCTTGCAAGAAGTCATTGATATCACGCCCTGAGTTTCAGGACATGACTTACTCAGATTCCCGATTCCCAGGCCAGGATTAAGGTGACTTACACCAAGGATCCAAACAGCAATTTTATTTATCAGTCACAACAAGATATTTCAGTTGCCCACTCAGCACAACCAACACGCTTCACAACAACGAGTTATTAGTAAGCAAAAGAAACCGGCCTTGCCATAGATAGCTTCCTGTTAAAGCGAGGAAGAGAAAGAAGGAAAGCGATAGGAGGAGGAAAGATCACCACCCTTGGATCCAGCGACGACCATGGCACACGCAGCCGTCTCCAAGTGATGGGTGAAAAAAGCGCGCAACTGCCCGGTGTGAGTGCCTTTTATACAGTTAAGTTCCCGCCACAGACCGGGAATGAGGTTGGGGGATGGTGGGGGCTTCTGAGGGGGGATGTGTTACCCCTCCCTCTCCTGGCTTCTTGCAGACACGGCTCTCAGCTCTAGCCACCCCAGAGCAAAGTGCTGAGTCACCCCTGCACAAACACAGACAGGTGCCAGGCAGGCGGCTCAGACTGTTTGAGACATTTGTTTGGTCCCTTACAATTGATACTACAAGACAGCTTAGAATTAAGACACTTCAACTGAGATCATTAGGCAAGGATTGAGAGTTTAGGACAAGGGGCATGAGATTTGACACTCAGAAGTGTCTGACATCCTCCTCTATCTTGGTTTTTGTCCTGGTGGGTGTCTTGGATCTTGGACTATGTTGGGTTCTGTCAGCTGTGAAATGGCGAGGGTAGATAGAGGAGCTAAAGTCAAGTCATTGTCTCCTGTGTGTCTCTCATGGAGATGAAAAAAAAAAAAGCCTTTTTTCTTTAAGTCAAAAACTATGCATGCCATTAGTATTAGATCTTCAGATTACATGGAAAGGTTTAGTCATCTTACAGGAGCAAGAACCTGGCAATTTGCACAGGCTGTTACACTCACATGGCTTCTATATCGTTTGGGAAGTCCAGCTATGTCCCCCTACAAGTATATCAATACAAGACAGTTTGGAGCACATGTGCTTTCAAAACTAAGCAGTTGCCAAAGATATCAGGGGTTCCTAGACTTTCTACTATAAGGTTCTGCATTGTAATTGTAAAGTTGTGGCTTGTTTCAAATGGTGAGTA